TTTTTTTTTTTTTGGTTTTTTTCGAGACAGGGTTTCTCTGTGTAGCTCTGCGCCTTTCCTGGAGCTCACTTGGTAGCCCAGGCTGGCCTCGAACTCACAGAGATCCGCCTGGCTCTGCCTCCCGCATTTTTTTTTTAAAGCATTCCCTTCAATAATCAATGGGAATGGGGCTGGGGGATGGCTCACTTGGTGAAGTGTTTGCTGTACAAGTTCGAGGACTTGAGTTCAGTGTCCAAAACTCACATGTTCAAGCCTGGTGCACTCTTGGAATTCCAGCCTTGAGGAGGAGAAGACGTGTGGGTATTTGGTCTGGCTGGCTAGTCAACCTAGCTACCTCGTCAGTGAGCCTCAAGTCAATGAGAGCCTTTTTCTCAAAAATCAAGATGGAGACCTCCCAAAGAAGACATTTAGAGGGTAGTTCTCTGGCCTCCATGTGCACATACACACAGGCCTACACAAGCCTACACACACACACACACACACACACACACACACACCACAGAGTTAATAGAAAATTAGAGCTATCTCTCCAGCCCTATAATATGCTTTGGTCAAATCTAACTCCACTCCCTCTCCTTCAGCGCCTCTTAGACCAGGACCCCTTTTCCCTCTCAACTTCACATACACCTGTTTTACACCCACTGAGTCCATTAGTGCCGCAAGTATGTTCATGGATGTAGGGTCACTCATCAGAGCGTGGACAGCCAATCAGGGCCCACATCATAGATGTAGGGTCACTCATCAGAACGTGGACAGCCAATCAGGGCCCGCATCATGGATGTAGGGTCACTCATCAGAACGTGGACAGCCAATCAGGGCCTGCATCAGAAGAAAACCACCTCTTCCTCCCCCAGCAGCATTAGATACCAATACTTTCTCACCTATGGGTGGGACTTTGGGATCCCTCCCCTGAAGTTTAATCTTAAAAAATACACTGAAACAGTACATAGGAGCAAGTGTTACATATGGGCAAACATGGGAAGCCTGTTTCCTTTAAAAATCCACATTTAATATAACTTGTATTTACCATATCGCTCCAACTGGGAATTTGGCTGTCAGAATCCTGGAATTTGAGGAGAATTCTATCCTGAAAGGAATTTTCACAAGCAATTCTGAAATTTTGTCTGGTTTCTTCCTTTCCAGTCTCTCTTCTAAGTCATGTTCTGTTCACATTTTGGCATTTCCCACTTCTGTTTGCCAAGGCCCCAGGAGTGACCAGTTTCTGCATAGGGTGGCGTTATTTGTTGAAAAGGGTCCACAGAAATCCCAAGATCTTTGAAAGCACTTTATTGTGCATAAAATAACAACTTTGATGAATGAGGTGGTTTTATTTTATGAAAGAATTTTAAAGAGCTTAAGGAATAATTTTAAGGACTTCATATTTAAAAAATAATTTTTAGGGAAAGTATATGTATTTTACCCTTATTTTTGCTGACTGTGTTTTATTTTTTCTTTTCAATGTCTCAGTGATTCTTTTTTATTGTATTTCTTTTTTTCCTTCCACTGATTTTTATTTTTGAGTGAGTGTGTGTGTGTGTGTGTGTGTGTGTGTGTGTGTGTGTGTGTGTGCATGAATTCAGTGCCATGGAGTCCAGAAGAGAGCATCACATCCTCTGACACTAGAGTTACAGGTGGTTATGAGCTGCCCGATGTAGTTACTGAGAACTCTGAGAGAGCAGTAAGTGCTCTTAGCCAATGAGCCATGTCTTCAGCCCAGCTTTACTACATTTCATGGGCTGGCTTCTTCCCCCTCCCTTTTCAATAGTGATGATAAAGGAACTTCATTTAGATCAAACATTGAAACATAATTAGTCACTGTCATAGGCACTCTGCCGCCTCTCTCACCTCCCTCTCGTCTCCACTCTTCCTCACT